GAGCTCACATTCTAATTAGAATGAGAACACACATGGAAGGTTTCATCTGGGTGTCAGTTGGAAAGGTTCCATGGTCCTCAGGATACAATGGCAAAGCAAATAGTAATGCCTCTTCTATCTATGACTCATTTATTTTGTTATATTTTGAGTGCTGAGCTGTCTCCCTCCTTCCCTGCTATCCCCACATTAGAGAAGGCCAATCTTTTATGTGTGTATGTGAGTTTGTGTATATATGTACACACATATGTCTATGTCTTCAAGCATGTGTGCATATATATATATATATATATACACACACAAATACGTGAAACTATACAACACATACATCCATATATCACAGTTCTTTCTCTGGAATTGGATAGCATTTTGCTTCACAGGTCCTTTGTGGTTGATTCAAATGATCACATTACTCAAAGTAGCTTAGTCATTCATAGTTACTCTTTGAACAATATTGCTGTTACTATATACAACATTTTCCTGGTTTTGCTCATTTTACTATGCATTAGTCCATTCAAGCTTCCCATGCTTTTCTAAAACCAACCTGCTTGTTGTTTCTTATGGCACAGTAGTATTCCATCACAATCATATTCAGCTATTCCTCATTTGATGGACATATACTCCAGTTCCAATTGTTTGCCACCACAAAACAAGCTGTTATCAATATCTTAGAACATATAAGTTCTTTTCCTTTTTTTCCTGATTACCTTGGGAAACAGACCTAATAGTGAGATTGCTGGGTCAAAGGGTATACACAATTTTATAACTTTGGGCATAATTTCAGTTGCTCTCCAGAATGGTTGGATCAGTTCACCATTCTACCATCAGTGTATTAGTGGTCCAATTTTTCCACATCCCCTTCAGCATTTGCCCTCCAGAGTTGTCATAGGTCATTGTATTGCTGAGAATAGCTAAGTCATTCATGGCTGATCATCTTACAATATTGCTGTTATTTTGTACACAGTACATTTCACTTTGCATCAACTCATGCATGTCTTTCCAGCTTTTCCTGAGAGCATCTTGCTCATCATTTCTTATAGTCCTATAGTATTCCCATCACAATCACACGCCACAATTTGTTCAGCCATTTCCCAATTGATAGGCATCCCCTCAACTTCTAATTCTTGACCCCCAGAAAAGAGCTGCTATAACTGTTTTTGTGCATTTTGGTCCTTTCCCGTTTTGTTTTTCATCTGTTTTTGGTGCACAGACCCAGTAGTGGTATTGCTACCTGGTTGCAATTGCATTGCATGGTTTTATAGCCCTTTGGGCAGACTTCCAAATTGCTCTATAGAATGGTTGAATCAATTCACAAGTTCCCCAAAAGTGCATTAAAGTCTTATTTTTCCCATGTTCCCTCCAACATTTATTATTTCCCTTATCTGTCCTATTAGCCAATCTAATAGGTATGAAGTAGTGCCTCAGAATTACTTTAATTTGCATTTCTCCAATTAATAGTGAGTTAGAGTATTGTTCATATGGCTATAAACAGCTTTAGTTACTTCATCTGAAAACTGTTCATATCTTTTGATCATTTATCAGTTGGGGAATGGCTCTTATTTTTACAAATTTGACTCAGTTCTTTATATGTTTGAGAAATGAGACCTTTATCAGAGAAACTTGCTTCAAAACTTTTTTTCCCAGTTAATATTGCTAACTGTATTTCTCTCTACCTATTCCCTCCTGCCTGTTCCATTCTCTCTCTATTTTCACCCTGTCCCTCCTCAAAAGTGTTCTTTACTACCCCTCCCCCAATCTGCCCTCCCCTCTATCACCCCTCCCCCCTTATCCTCTTCCCCTCCTACTTATCTGCAAGGTAAGTAAGATAGATTTCTATACCCATTTGAATGTGTATTTATTCTCTCTTTGAGTCAATTCTGATGAGAGTAAGGTTCCCTCACTACCCCTCACCTTCCCCTTCTTCCCCTCCATTATAAAAGTTTTTTCTTTCCTCTTTCATGTGAGATAATTTACTCCATTGTACCTCTTTCTTTCTCTTTCTCCTTTTAATTTTATTTTTTTAGATATCATCCCTTCATATTTAAGTCACACTTGTGCCCTCTATCTATATATACTCCATCTAACTACCCTAATAATGAGAAAGATTTTATGAGTTACAAGTATCATCTTCCCATGTAGGAATGTAAACAATTTAAAATTATTAAGTCCCTTATGATTTCCCTTTCCTGTTTACCTTTTTGGCTTCTTTTGAGTCTTGTATTTGAAAGTCAAATTTTCTATTCGGCTCTGGTCTTTTCATCAAGGATGCTTGAAAGTCTTCAATCTCATTGAATATCCATTTGCCCCCCAGAGGATTATACTCAATTTTGCTGGGTAGATGATTGTTGGTTGTAATTGTAGCTCCTTTGCCTTCTGGAATATCATGTTGTGAGCCCTAAGATCCTTTAATGCAGAAGGTGCTAAAACTTGTGATATCCTGACTGTGGCTTCACAATACTTGGATTGTTTCTTTCTGGCTGCTGGCAATATTTTCTCCTTGATGTGGGAAGTCTGGAATTTGGCTATAATATTACTGGCAGTTTTCATTCTGGGATCTCTTTCAGGAGGTGATTGGTAGATTCTTTCAATTTCTATTTTACCTTCTGGATCTAGAATATCAAGGCAGTTTTCCTTGATAATTTCTTGAAATGTCTAGGCTTTTTTTTTTATCATGGCTTTCAGGTAGTCCAATAATTTCAAAATTATCTCTCTTGAATTTATTTTCCAGATCAGTTTTTGTTCCAGTGATATATTTTACATAGTCTTCTATTTTTTCATTCTTTGGTTTTGTTTTATTATTTCTTGATTTCTCATAAAGTCATTAACTTCCATTTGTTCCATTCTAATTTTCAAGGAATTATTTTCTTCGATGAGATTTTGGACCTCCTTTTAAATTTGGTCAATTCTGCTTTTTAAGGCATTCTTCTTCTCATTGGCTTTTTGGACCTCTTCTCTCTTTTGGGTTGGGCTATTTTTTATGATGTTATTTTCTTCATTTTTTTTTGTATCTCCTTTAGCAAGATATTGACTTGTTTTTCATGATTTTCTTGCATCTCTCTCATTTCTTTTCCCATTTTTTTCCTCTACCTCTATCAATTGATTTTAAAAATCCTTTTTGAGCTTTTCCACAGCCTGAGACCAATTTATATTTTTCTTGGAGTCTTTGGATGTCGGAACTTTGATTTTGTTGTCTTCTTTTGAGTGTGTGTTTTGATCTTCTTTGTCACCATAATAACATTCAATAGTCAGAGTTTTTTCCATTGTTTGCTCATTTCCCCAGCTTGTTGATTTTAAGTCATTATTAAAGTTGGGCTCTGCTTCCAGGGCAGAGGGCACACTGTCCAATGTTTCAAGGGGTTTGTGCAGCTGTTTTCAGAGGTATTTCTAGGGACCTATAAATTTTCAGTTCTTCCAAGGTGGTATGGTCAAAGACAAAGTGTTTATTCCTTTCTTGGCCTGTCATCTGGTCTATGAGTGACCACAAGCATTCTTTTCTGCCTTGGAACTGTGAGGAGGGTCTACCCCTCTGCTGTGGCTTCAAACTCTGCTATGCTAGTGGTCCTCCTCACCCCGAGACTGCCATCCAGGGCCATGATCTAGATCTGAGTATGGGCAAAGTAAGAGAATTCTGTCTCAGTGCTAGCAAAAAGACCCCTGTAGTCTCCTTTTGACTAGTTGTTTGACCCCATTACTGTCTGTGGGCTGAGAGCTCCGGAAGTAGCCATTGCCACTGCTTATTCAGTCACTCCCATATATTCAGTCACTGTTTCAATTTTGCTGGGGCCCGGGTTGTGCTGGTGTGGCCTGTGCTGGCCTGTGCTTCTCTCTCACCCTAAGGTAACAGACTTTTCCTGACTACCTACCAAGGTGTCTTGGGCTGGAAATATGTGGCACTTCATCTTTTTGTGGGTTCTGCTACTCAAGAATTTATTTAGAGTCCTTTTAAAAGGCATTTTCAGTGGTTTAGGGGAGAGCTCAGGCAAGTCCCTGCCTTTACTCCACCATCCTGGTTCTGTCTCCTCCTTCTTCCTTCTCTTTCCCTACCTTCTCTTTTCCTTCCCTTCCTCTCTGGCCTATACATATCCACAACTCCCTGAGAACATGGGCTTAGTGTCTATCTCTACCTTTGTTGTTCTGTCTCCCATGAATACCCAGGTTCCTTCAGTCTCAAGAGGGGAATCCCAACATTTTCAAGGTTATAGGAGGTGCCACCTGCTCATGTAGCTTCAAGCTTTTGATTTGTAGCTCAATATCACTGAGATCATTATTGCTACCAATTATTTCAATTATTATCTACTATCATTTCTAAGAAAAATAAGTGATGCCAAATTCAAGAATTAAAGACAACTACAGAAAGGGCAATTGCTCTTGAAGGTCAGGCCTGAGACTGATGATGCAAAGTTGTTGGACATCTAGCTGTATTCTTCATGTTCTAGATTCTGTTCTCTCCATCTGTTGCATTCTGGGCCATATGGGGACTTCAACCCTTTCTGTGTAAAGGTAGGAATGAATGAAATGGAAGAATCCTAATCCTTTTATTTTAGTAACTTCTCTCCCCCCCAGATTCTCTTAACCATTAGGTAAGTTCAGCAGTGCAAATGGGTTTCCAAGGCTCATTTCTGAACTTAGATCCCCAGTTTATTCAACTCTCCAAACCTAGCTTCCAGGTTGGTTAAAATTTTACAACCGTCACAAACTAAAATGTCCAAATGGGGAATCTAGGATAAAGGACATGGTACAGGATAAAAAGTACACATAGTTTGGATCCTTGTTTAGAATCTGATAAGGTATTTTACATAAGTTTAATGAATTTACAAGGTCTTTTTGAGAAGAGAGTTCCAAATGGAAAACCTGTGCTAAGAAATTTAAGCAAACACAGTTTTGGCATGAATAGCCTGAATTTTGAAATCAGTGGGAGGAAATGAAATGTCGAGTTAATAATCTACAATTATTGGTTAAAAATGTATATTAATGCATTTCTCTTCTCAATATCTGACCTTCTCTCCTCCATCAATTCCCACCAACAATTGACAAGATGAAGTGGGTCACCTTTTTTTCCCTTATTTTCCTCTTCAGCTCTGTTCATTCCAGAAGAATCATCCGTCGAGATGCACGTAAGAATCTTTTCAGTCATGGCCTCTTTTAATGCAGAAAGAGAGGTTAAATGAATATTGAATCTTTATTGATTTGTGTTACTATTATTTTTATTTTCCTTTAAAGGTGAATAATATTTATCAGGATGACTGTATCTCTATAGTGTCAAAGTAGTCATTTGTCTAATATTGTCAATGAGCTAGACAGGATAGTTTTCTGTAATCTTCTCTTGCAGATGGAGAAAATGTAGGCACCAAGACTTTCTAAAGTTGTGTAATTCCAAAGAAAGAAAAGGAACTTATTCCTCCTCCACCTCCTCAGCTGGGACTTTATCAGCTCTGCTTCAGCATCTAGAAATCTAGAACCCTTAGATAAGTTTTATATTTAGAATTTGGCTTTATCGAACTTGCATTTCAGGAAGACCTCCCATCATTCCTCTGAAGGATATATAGAAGAAGTAATCCTATTTTGGCAACTAGGTGAATAGAGTGCTGGACCTGGAGTCAGGAACACCTGAGTTCACATCTAGTTTCTGCCACTTATTAATTTGTGTGACTTTTGGCAAGTCAATTAACCCTGTTTGCTTCTGTTTCCTCATTTGTAAAATGAGCTGGAGAAGGAAATGGAAATCTACTTCAGTATCTTTGCCAAAAAAACCAAATAACCATTTAACAACCCATGAAGGGTCATGAAGGGTCAGACATGCCTGAAAATGACCTAATAAATGATAAAAATGAGATGATTCTGGGAAGATGGGGGAGTGGGTCAGAAAATTCCAAGCTCTCAAGATTTTCCCCCACAGAAAATTGGAGCACTGGTGCACTGTTGGTGGAGTTGTGGGTTGATCCAACCATTTTGGAGAGCAGTTTGGAGCTATGCCCAAAGGGCTATAGAAATGTGCATGCCCTTTGACCCAGCAATAGCACTTCTAGGGCTCTATTCCAAGGAGATCATATAAATGGGAAAAGGACCCACATGTACAAAAATATTTGTAGCCACTCTTTTTGTGGTGGCAAAGAGTTGGAGGTTGAGGGGATGCCCATCATTTGGGTAGTGACTGAATGGGTTGTGGCGTATGAATGTAGCGGAATACTATTGTGCTGTGGGAAGTGATGGGCAGGGTGACTTCAGGGGAGCCTGGGGGGACTTGTGTGGTCTGGTGCTGAGTGAGGTGAGTGGAGCCAGGGGAGCATTGTACACAATAGCAGCCACTTTGTGTGATGACTAATATTGATAAACTTAACCCTTCCCAGCAATACAAGGATCTAAGACATCTCCAAAAGTCTCATGATGGAAAATGCTATCCATATCCAAAGAAAGTACTATGGATTTGGAATGCTGATCAAAGCATACTATTTGCCATTTGTTTTTCTTCTGTTGAGTTTTGTTTCCTCCTTCTGGTGGTTCTTCCTATTGGTTCTAATTCTTACTTAAAACAATGCTAATGTGAAAAAATATTTAATAGGAATATATATGTATAGCCTAAATCAGATTGTGCGCCATCTTGGGGAGGGTGGGGGGAAGGAAGGGGAAGAAAAATTTTAAACTCAAAAGCATATGGAAGTGATTGTTGCTAAATCCAAATAAATTAATTAAAAAAATATTTCCCCCCACAAAAGAGATGAAATAACACCTTAGGGCGAACACAGAGCAGTAAAAATAGTTAAAAGTAGGGGCAGAACAGGGATCCTCCTGGGACAATCAGAGAAGATTTGAAGAAAACTCTCAGGACAAGGTTTGGTCTCTGTGAAGAGTAAACACCCCAAGTCCAGGTCCTAGGCCTTCTTAAACAACAAGACGCAAGCCCTGGGATTATCTGGGTTGGTAGGCTGCCTTGCCCCCAGGCATAGGAACTTTTATCCTTGGGACAGTGAGTTAAGTTGTGCATCTGATCCAGGGAAGATTGAGGGAACCTCTGATGACAAGGAATGCCAGACCCAGCTGTACTGTGGAGAAGCAGCCGGGGGTGAGAAAGAACCAGCACATGTTCCAGTGAGTGCAGAAGCAGTGGTTCAGGGATATCACTGGCTGTGGGCACTTACAGGAGGCTGGAGGTCTTGGTTTTAGGTTCCAGGGTAGAGGAGAGTGCTGAAGGAGATTCTGAGGCCAGAGCCACCATCCCCCATACTCCAGGACTAGAGGTGATGCAAAAACTAAGCTACTACAAACTTAAAAAAATGTACAAGTAAAGGAGAAAGAATCCAACCACAGAGAGTTACTATGGAAATAGCGAAGACTGCGGTTCAACTTCAGAGGCAGATACTGAAACAAAGAAACCCTCCTCTACCCAAATGTCAAATGATCACCTTCCCAAAAAAAATCACAGAACTTTAGAAAGACTTTAAAAATCCAATGAGAGTGATTGTGAAAAAACAAAGAAAAAAAGAACAATACAAGAAAAACAAGAAGATTATGAAAAGAAAGTCAACCAATTAGAAATGGAGATCCAGAATCTTATGGAAGAAAATGGCTCCTTGAAAATTAGAACAGGGCAAGGGGAAGCCAGTGAAGTTGTAAGAGATCAAGAAATAATAAAACAAAATATAAATAATGAAAAACATAGAAGAGTACATAAAACATCTCATAAGAAAAACAACTGATTTGGAGAACAGATCAAGAAGAGAAAACATAAGAATAATTGGACTACCTGAAAGCTATGATCAAAAAAAAAAAGAATCTTGACACAATAATACAAGAAAAAATTAAAGAAAACTATTCTCAAACTTTAGAACAAGAGGGAAAGTAGAAATAGAAAAAAAAAACCAAGGGGCAGCTAGGTGGCACAGTGGCTAGAGCACTGGCCCTGAAGTCAGGAGGATATGAGTTCAAATCCAGCCTCAGACCAAATACTTGACACTTACTAGCTGTGTGACCCTGGGCAAGTCACTTAACCCCAGTTGCCTTAAAAAAAGAAAAAGAAAAAAATCCACTGATTGCCACCTAAAAGAGATTCTATGAGGAAAACCCACAGAAATGTTATAGTCAAATTCTGAAATTCCCAGCTCAAGGATAAAATATTACAAGCAACAAGGAAAAAAAAACCCCAAAATTTAAATATGGTGATGTCACAATTAGAATCACACAAGACATAGTAATGGTGACACTAAAAGACTCCAGGTCTTGGTACATTATATATTGAAGAGCAAAAGAACTGGGGTTCCAGCTGAAAATATTATACCCAGTAAAGCTAAGCATAATCCTGAATGAAAAAATGGACATTCAATGAATTGTCATACTTTCAGGACTTTGTTAAAACAAAACCCTGACCTTCGTAGAAGATTTGACATACAAGAACCAAGAGAAATATAAGGTATACACCAAAGACTAATTACAAGGGACTCAATAAGGACAGACTGTTTACCTTTTGTGTGTGTAAAATGTATGTTTAAGTTTGCTATTAGTAATTGGGTAGTTCATAAGAAAGATTGGGGTAGACCTGAGTAAGATATGACTTTAAAAATAAAATCATTTAGGAAAAGCTAAAGAGAGTAATTATTTTATACAAATGAGGGGCAAGAGGAAGAATGAACACAGGGAATTAGGTGGGGGAGGAGAGCTGGTAGTTCTGTAAGCCTCTTTTCATCAGGAAGGGGTTCAAGAGGGAACAATACATATATATCTGAAAGAGTATAAAAGTCTTGTAAATTCAGAAAGAAATAAAACAGTAAGGGGATAGGGAGAGGGGAGAGAATAAGGGAGGGATTTCTAGAGGGGAGGGTGAGGGAATAAGTCAAATGTGGGTATAGAAGGGTGTTTAGATTTATGAGAATGGGAGGATAAGGAAGGGTTCCTTGTGTGGGGGATAGGTTAATTATTAAAAGGGTAAGGTAGTGGGTAGAAGTAAAGTAGAGGAGTTAGGAGGGATAGGAAATAAGAGATACACACAAACATAAAATAAAAATCAGGAGTAGAATTTGCTAGGGAAAGTATATGTCTATATATGTATACATGTACGTATATATTTATGTGTACATATGTATACATGTATGTATATCCCTATCTCTCTATATAAATATATACATGCTCAATTGTAGCTTTCTAGGGGACAAGTGGAGGAAGGCAGAAAAAAGAACAAAGTAAATAATGCCTGGCAGAGAACAAAAGAAAACTTACAAAGAAACAAAGAAAAGATGGTTTATTATATAGGCTTTCTAGAAATAGAAATTTATTGCTATATATTTTGAATCCTCTCTTACATTCTGCTGTGTATATGAAAGCTTTTATTTCTTTTCTTATTTTCTATTTAAGCTTCAATATCTAAATTTACAATATTTTTTTTCTTACTGTGCATTTAAGTTTCAGTAAAAAAAAATAAACCATAAAAATCCTACTTTAGATTTGAGGGAAAAAATTGTAAAGTTCAAACAGTAGTTCAAGAAGTATCTTTGCCAATCAACAATTCTCTAAGTGTTATACTGAACTGAGTTTCACTGTTCTACAAAGATTTGTCTGTGCTGGTAGAGGCACCATCTTTTGAGTTATTTAGATAGATAAACTATGCCTAGATTGAGGATGAGTTCTTCACCTGGAAGTTTAAAATATATAGACACATATAAAAATCAATGTTCTTTGTTTTATTTCTAGCTAAGAGTGAGATTGCGAAACGATATAGGGATTTGGGTGAAGATAACGTGAAAGCCCTGTAAGTATGATTATTGAAAATGTGTGTTCATTTTTCCATTAATATTGATTGTGACATTATCCCTTGATACCTTACATAGTGGATTCCTTTCTTGTCTTTCTGCCACCCCAACATGGAACATGCTCAGTTGCCATTAGTTTCTGGCTCAGTAGTTAATTAAAGACCTTTTCAACATCTCCCTTATGAAGCCCTGATGTCACTTCTGGTTGAAGTGGGCACCCCACATTTCCACATGGTCACCAGGGATGGCAGCTGGGCATGCTCTCTGTGCAGAGGAAGGGCATCATTACACTCATAAGTTTGCTTTCTGGATCTCCCCTGTGGTGACCCTTTCCAAGGGACAGGGTAGCTTGTGATTGCTCTATAGCATGATTCTTTTGGTACTGAAGTAATTTCCCAGCCTGTGGAATGGAATATGATATGACCATGAAGCTCCAAAGGGCTATTGCCATTAAAGTAAATTATTGAGAAATTCAAAACTTAGAAAAGAGCCTGCTTTTGAAAAGCTCTTCTCTTGCGTGTTCTTTAAATCACATCCGTCCTGGCTTTTCTGGTCTATGGAAGGTCTACACTAGAGTCTTGACCTTCAGAGATACTCAGTGAGATACTGAGTTCCATGGAGATGCTCAGAAATCTACCAGAGCACATTCTGTATTGACCTAGGCAGGCCCAAGTCTATTAGCCTGGCATTGATTGGAGAGACAGAAGGGGAGCTGTTAGGAGTGCAACAATTTGGGACTATGTCTGCATCCGATACAGTCACCTGAAGCTTAGCACCATGGACTGGTGACTGCTGTCTCTCTGTGAGCATTCTTGATGTAAGGTCATGTATATTGCTACAGGAATGCTGCTGAGAAACACATGAATACTTCAGACTGTGCTGTTGGGTTGCTAGTACACAGCATACAAATAATTATAGTTGTGGAATTAAAAATAATAGCTAGTGTTTACATAGTGCTTTAAGGTTTGCAAAGTGCTCGAGAAATAATATCTCTTTTATTCTCACAACAACCCTGCAAGGTGGGTGCTATTGTTATTCCAGTCATCCCTGGTGACCATGTGGAAATGTGGGGTGCCTACTTCAACCATAAGTGACATCAGGGCTTTATAGGGAAGATGTTTAAAAGTTCTTTAATTAGTTACTGAGCCAGATACCAAACAGATAAGGAAAATGAGGGAGAGAGTGGTTGAATGACTTCCCCTGGGTCATAGACTTTATAATTGGTGATGTAATCAGTGTCAAAGGCAGGCTTTGTGCTCAAGACTTCTACACATAAGGTCCTAGAAGACTAATTAAATTGACTTCAGTTACTTAGTGATTGTCTTTCACGTAACGTACATAGAATGTACATATTCCACAGAGAATGGTTTTTGGGGGTTAGGAAGATCGTCTCCTTCCTCCTCAAAATCTTCTTCCACTGGCTAAAGCTTGGAGTTCTACATGAAGACTTGTCCTCATTTGTTTAACTGTTAAATACAAGTGTCTTTGGGATGAATATCGCTTTAAACTTATCAGTCACTAAGCATGTAGTGTGACTGGAGATTTTGAGATCAGAGTTTGTATGAGATTGTGAGGATCAAATTAGAGAATATTAGTAAAGTGTTGAACACAGTGCCTGGCACATAGTAGGTGCTGTATAAATGCTTGTTCTCTTCCCCCACCTTTGGTCAGAGCAGTGAGGAAGAGATAGTATACATTGATCCTTGTAGAGTGAATGACTGAAAAAGCATGCATTAAACACTGTGCTAAGGGCTGGAGGTACACACAAATAGAAAAGCAAAGCAGTCCCTATTCTCAAGGAGAACCTATCTAGGAGAATGCAGCTACAAGGCAGATGGAAAAAATCCCATGGCCCTTAGGGTACAATAGCAAAATAGCAAATACTTGATGATGGGGTCTTTAATATTTAGTTTCATCTTTGCTTTCAATAACCATAAGAATTCTTTGTTTCAGACTGTTGATCACATTTGCTCAGTACCTCCAGAAATGTCCATTCGAACATCACGCCAAATTAGTGGGTGAGGTTGTGGAATTCGCAAAAGGCTGTGCTGCTGATGAGACAGCAGAAAATTGTGGCAAATCCCTTGTGAGTATCGACCCTGTGGTTGAGTTTGACCTTCTCTCTTCATTTCATTTCAGATAGGAGATCAGAGTCAACAGTAATGTGTCCCACCAAGAAGGCCATTTCTCTCTTTGTTCTTGGACTTCTCACACAAAGACCAGTCCAGAAGTGTTTCCTTTCATTAAAAAAATGCAAGGAATTGTTCTGAACTAAGAGAAAGTCAGATAATTTGAGAGGAGCAGAAGAATGTCAAGGCAGCTGCCTCTCCTAACTTCCTGTCTCCTGAGTCTTGTTCTTTCCGAAAGAGAAAGACGAGTATGTCCAGAGCCTTAAATGGGTCAGTGACTAACCACCTATTTTTTTCCCTCCTAGCACCAACTATTCGGGGATAAGTTATGTAGTTTGGCAAATTTTCGGGAGATGTATCCTGAAAAGGCAGACTGCTGCACTAAAGAGGAACCTGAGAGAAATCACTGTTTCCTGAGTCACAAAGATGACCACCCAGACCTCCCTGAAATCACATACCCTGAACCTGATGCTCAGTGCCAAGCCATCCACGATGATGAAAACAAAGTGGGAGCATAGTAAGTGAGATCAGAAAGTGAGTGTAGGGGCTGGTGGGCCACTGTAGGAGACAAGGAACTCTGGCATAGGTCATACATACTAACTGCGTGGGACTGAGGGGGAAGGGGAATAAATATTGATGAATAAATATTGATAAATATTGATGATGGCACTATGTGCCAGGCCCTGTGCTAAGGAGGTTACAAATACTCTTTTATTTGATTCCCACAATAAATCATTTAGATGTTGGTATGATTCCCATTTTATGGATGAAGCAACTGAGGCAGACAGATTATGTGACATTCCAAGTGTCTCATAGCTACTAAGTGTTTCACATCTTCCTTCATCCAGGCCTAATGTTTTATCCACTGTGCCATCTAGTTGGCAATGGCAGGTCATTTATGCTCCTTGGGCCACAGTTTCCTCATCTATGAACTGAGGAGGCTGGACAGATGATCTTCGTTCCCCTCTGTAGCTCTAGAATTCTGTGGTCTGAGTGTCCCAGGCAGCCTGGCAAAGAGTACTATGTTATTGAAAAGTGGCCAATCTGCAGAGATAGAGGGAGTTTCCCTGCTCAGAATTTCCTATGCTCATAGCTGACCTAGATTTAGGATTCTGAGGGTGGTAGACTCAGAGAAAGCTAAATACATTTATAGCACTTTGATCAGTGTGGAAATAGCAGCATTCAGCCCTGAGTTAGTAGGAATAACTAACTTTGATAAGAAGATGCTGGGCTTTGGTGAATCATTCCCTAAGCATGGTCTTCCCCAAGACTTTTGCTGCCCTCTCAGGGGGTCTGGCTCTTCACTCCTCACCCGAAGGGGGCTTTTACATCATTTGCCCTTGGCCTTGGTGGTAGTGGTTGCCCTAGACACACCAATTCCTATTTAGAGTGAACGAATGCCAATGAACTTACAGCTCCAGATTAGAGGGGGCAGCAGAAGTCAAAACTAGTTCGGTTCAGTTGGAGGAGTAAACTGCTAACACCTGGTTCTGGTTGATGTGGGTACAAGGTTGAGGACATTTGTTATTCATAGCTACTCAAAAGTGACCACTTGGTTGTCTTTGCCAATTTCAGCTACCTGTACGAAGTTGCCAGAAGACACCCCTACTTCTATGCCCCAGCACTCCTTGTCTACGCTCGTCAATATAAGGAGGAAGTGAAAGAATGTTGCCAGGGTGCTGACAAAGCCGCGTGCCTCAAAGAAAAGGTATTTGAGAAGCGGAGAGAGAAAGAGAATGAGAAAGAGAAACAGAGACAGAGATAGAGATAGAGATAAAGAGAGAGACAGAGAGACAGAGACCCAGGGTGGGGTGGGGTGAAGTCATGAAGACTTGGGTTGAAGTCCCATCTCAGATGCTTACTAGTTGTGCGACCCTGTGCAAGTCACTTCATTTCTCCTGGCCTCAGTTTTCTAATCTGTAATCTGAGGGGGTGGTACTTGGTGCTCTTTCCAGCTCTATATACATGATCCTTCCTTTGTTCTTCTTCAGTACTGTCCTCACTTCCGTGAAGGGTAGGGTGATAGAGTCTGCCTCTGTATTGTTTAAACTTTCCAATCCCCTGAATCATTTCATTATTTGTGATAATGGTATTGAGAACTCTCTGCATCCTGGTGTCAGCATTGTGTGTGTATGTGTGTGTGTGTGTGTTTGCGCGCATATGTGCAAGCATGTAAATGTATATGTGTGGAGGAATTTGGAGTGGACAGAATCTACTGTAGGCAGAAGAGTGAGTTTTGCTGACTGATGATATTGGGAACATTAGGCAGGACTGAAGATGCAGTTGACCACGTAGTTGTGTTGTTGTCCAGTCCTTTTCAGTCATATCTGACTTTTCCTGATCCCATTTGGGGTTTTCTTGGGAAAGATCCTGGAGTATTTTGCCATTTCCCTCTCCAGGGCCTTTCATAGATGAAGAACTGAGGCAAATTGGGATAAATGACTTGTCTAGGGTCACACAGTTAGTAAGTGTCTGAAACGAGATTTGAACTCATGAAGATGAGTCTTCCTGATTCTAAGCTTAGTACTCTATCCACTGGGCCAGCTAGCTGCCTGATGACATAGTTGGCCCTACAGAAAATTGGGAAGCAGGTGAAGTTTGTCTTCTTGGTTCTCTTAGGCTCCTTCCCAAGCCCCAGGAGGTATGTGGTACCCTTATAGTACTCTTCACTGTCCCAAGCACCCCATTGCAGTAACACTCCCAAGTCCACTCTCCTGCAAAAGGCCCCTCTCCTATCAAAATATACCCTGTCCTCATCAATTATATATGCTATATAATTTTCCAAATAGGGAGCCTATATCCTGCTTAGCAAAGATAAGGACTTGTTCCATCAGGTTATGGAAAGTTAAAGATTTCATATTGCAGTTAAGAGCACCAAAAGAGAGCTGGGAGGGACCTTGGAGAACCTTGTATTTACTAATTTGATCACAGGTGAGGAGACTGAGGTCTAGAGAGCATTCCTAATTCTTAATTACTGTGCTTGTGGCTAATTAGCTTGATGGATTCACTCATTATGTTAATAGAAATGAATGTCCCACTACAATTCCCATCCAACAAGCATTAATCAGTCCCATATTAGATAACATTAAAGACCTAGGGGGACCAAGAGAAAAGCCAAAATAACCCCTGCCCTCTTGGAACTTACAATGAATTACATACTGGTGAGATTATCACTGACCATTCCCAAATCTGAATAAGTGTCTTCTAATTGTGTCGCCTTGGTCATAAGAGGCACTAGGAAAGTGGCCATTAAGGGCTTAGTCCAAAATTCTATCACTGCTACTAAGAAAACCAGCCCAAGTGCATACATTATTATTGGTGGGTGAGTAATCTTCATATAAAGTAGGGTCTCTTAACTTTCTCTGTCTCTCTCTATCTCTCTGTCTCTGTCTCTCTCTCTGCCATGGAACCCAGATTAAACCTCTTAAATTATGAAGAAAACGTAGAATTAATTTGTGAGGATTTTGTAGGGAATTTATTTTTAATAATAATGAAAATAGGGAAATTATTTTTGAAAAATGTGAATTCTTTCTACAGCTCTCTGCTTTAAAAGAAAAAGTAGTATTTGCAGGTGTAAGACAGAGATTCCGATGTTCCAGTTTAGACAAGTTTGGAGAGAGACCTGTCAAAGCTGGGTAAGTCTCTAAGTTCTATTTGCCTAAAAACCTCTGTATTTGTTAAAGAAGCAAAGATAGAAAAAAAGCCTGGGATTCCAATACCTATAGCTAACACCACTTTTTGATGTTAATTTCATGACTTCCAAAAAGTAAAAAAAATCTGTGGCAAGTGAAATTCAACAAAAAGATCAACTGAGTCTTTTTCTCTAAGCAAGGTAACATTACCAGGGCATTACCTGGCAGTAGAATGGGCCTAATGACTGCCTCAGTTAGCCAAAAGACAAAGAATTGAAGATGCAGCTCATTTTTATAAGCATAGAACAAAGTATAGAACTGAGTAGGTGACATCATGGGGTTGAGGACAACATGATTGGTTACATAGCTGAAGCACAGGCAACAATTTGATTGGTAGGAAGTTGGAAATTGAATGGAAGAAGGAAACAGCTCCCTTCTTCTTTCCTGTGACTAAGAAAAGTTCTTTGAGTCTACTTTCAAGGTTAAAAGAAAGTGGGCCAGGGGCAGCTAGCTGATGCAATGGGTAGAGCACAGGCCCTGGAGTCAGGGGGACCTGAGTTCAAATTTGACCTCTGACACTTGACCCTTACTAGCTGTGTGACCCTGGGCAAGTCACTTAACCCCATTGCCTAGCCAAAAAAAAAAAAAAGAAAGAAAAAGAGAGGCAAAAGACAGTCCTTCTAGGGACAGCTAGGTGGCACAGTAGATAGAGTTCTGGCCTTGGAGTCAGGAGGACCTGAGTTCAAATGTGGCCTGAGACCCCTGACGCTTACTTGCTGCTCGATGCTGGGAAAGTCTCTTAACCCCTATTGTTTCACCAAAAAAGCAAAACAAAAGTGGGTCAGTCTTCCTTGGATAACAAACCAGACATCCTTGAAAGAAAGCCTGCCTTGTGTCCACCTTCATGCCCCAAAGATAGCACAAGTCCTTGAGGCAATAATAGAACAGTGATTAGCAGGAGAACTGGATTTCTAACCTTAACTCTTTATAGATGAGTGTATTTCTGCACTGACTTCAGGGACAAAGAGCCATGACTTAGGCAGTTACAGGACAAACTCAATCAGCTGTAAATAGGATCAGTGAAAAATGATACAGATTCAATTTAATTATCTCAGAATCGAACATTTCCTGTTTAGTCTTTGTGATAAAAGTGGCAGGCATTTCCATTCTAGTTTTATAAGTAAAGTCTAGAAATGTTTATCCTCCAATCTGGAGTATTAGAGAGGCTTTTTGGGAGGGGTTTTTCCCACAACCCCACTCTCACTGCATCCCTGCTTGACTCAGATTAATACTCCAATTCCTCCTCCCGCCATATTGGTGAGGGGCTCTGGTTCTCTCTAACGCTCTATCTACCAGTTTGGCTCATGATGCGGTGTCGTTCAGCCCAGCTAAGCCCTGATTCTCTTTTCATTGTAGAAGTGCCAATCCACCTTGGGTTTGACTGCCCAAAGTACCTCAGTGCAGTGGAGTCCCCAAAGCACCCCATAGAGTCTCTAGGTAACCATGTTGATTAAGTGCTTAGAATTTGCACAAAGAGTGATAGAGATGGCCAATGCCTTCTAAGGCCATCAAAAGTTAATAATGATGGCCACTGCTAATACAAAGGATTGGACAATCCTTCCCCTTCCCAAAGATTAATGCTGAGAAAGTATGGCAGAGTGTATAGAGTGCTGTTCTCTGAGTCAGAATAAAAACTTGGCTTCAGGGCCTGTATCTGATATATTCTATAAGTCAACTCATTCAAGAATTTCACAGAAATTTGAAAAATAATTTCCAGGAAATTTTCTTGTGAGTTTTAATTTCTAATGATTGACCTTTTGTGGATTTTCTTCCTAGGCTCATAGCTCGGCTAAGTCAGAAATTCCCTAAGATTGAATTTGCTGAACTTCATAAAATAGTGGATGATCTTGCCAACATTCATAAGGAATGTTGCCACGGTGACCTGTTGGAGTGTGCTGATGATAGGGTCAGTATTTATTGGTATTACCCCACATTGTTTTTATATAAGCTTCTCTATAATGTACTTGTCTGAGTTTTTTAAAAACCCAAATATAAGAAATTTAGAATCAGCGAGATCATAATGAATAAATTTGAATCTACAGTTTTTTTTCAAACATCAGCTTATTCTGTCAGCCAGCCAGTCAAGTAGCATTATTAAGCACCTACTGTATGCCAGGCAGTAGGCTAAGCTTGTGTCCCTCTCTATAGGAAGCCTTTTCTAATCTCCTCAGCCTCTCATTTCTTCCAGCCGAAAATTACCACGTAATGACTTGTGTATATTTCTATAAAACTTATGTATATATTTGTTATTTGCCTGGATAGAATATGAGTTGTTAGAGGATAAGCAGTTTTTGCCTTTGAATTCCTGGGGGTGTAGCGTAGGACCTTACAAGTGGAAGGCACTTAATTACTTGCTGCTGTATAAAATAAGAGAGTTCATTAGCAAGATGGTGAAATACAGTACACAAGGTTTCTTGCTAATGTTGTCATTGCTTCTCAGTCTCCTGTTTTAAGAAATTTTGCCACTCCCTCTAGCCCTGTTGTTCCTAGCAACCTCAAACTCTCTTTATTATTTTCTTTACCCAAATTAGTTCTTAATATTATTATTATTGTTATTGGTTGTTATCTTGTAAAAAAATTCAGTGAGGCTAAGGTAAACTTGGCTGCTAGCAGGTTGGTCAGACAGTCAATAAGCATTTATCAAGCACCTCCTATGTGCCAGACACTGTGCTATTTACTTTGGGGATGCTAAGAAAGACAGCAATAGTCCTTGTTCTCAAAAAGCTTGCATTCTGCTGGGAGGAGACCACATGCAAATACATAATGAATATGAAGATATACATAAAGTACAGGGGAGGTAATCTGAGGAGGGAAAGCTCTTACAGCTGGAAGACCTCTTCATCTATCTTAAAATAGCCAGGGAGTCTAAGATGCAAAGGCGAGAGGGACAGAGCATTGAGGCATGGGGGACAGACAGTGCAAAGTAGACCAGGGTCCCTAGATTGGAGAGCTTATGGAATGGAGTAAGGGGTAAGAGGACCAGCAAAGGAGGAAGCGGACAGGCTATGGAGCAGTTTGGATATCAAACAGAGAAGTTATATTTGATCCTGGAGGTACTAAGGACCCATTGAGTTCACTAAGTGGAGGGGGGGGAGACTTGAGCTGCAACCAAGTATTGGAGTGCAGGAGAAAGCAGGGAGAATGAACCAGGGGAGGTTGGTAAAACCCAGTAGAGTGTGGACAGGTTGATAAATCTGTTTTGGTTAAATTTCAAAGAAAGATAGTGAGTTCAGGTGGTAAGGGAAGGGCTTGAAAATGGCAGTGAGGGGGGCAAGGAAATCCCCCTCCCATCCTCTCTTGGCCCAGTGTCTTTATGTATGTATGTATGTATGTGTGTGTGTGGGGGTGGGAGGAACAGATATAAAGTATGAGAGAAGGAACATCCCATTCTGGTGAGGGTGGCAGGGATGAAATGTCTCCAGGACAAGGTCAGCTTTCCGAGCCTGCAAGGATATGGAAGGAGCTTCAGAGGAAGGAGCTCAAGTGAAGAACAGTTTGTTAACAATAAGGAGGGTCCAAGGGCATTCTGGAAGGGAAAGGCAGATTGGATTGGAGTGCCTAGAACCTTAGACTATTGAGCCCTGTGTTGACCTGCTTCTATCTCATGGCTTGTAGGTGGCTCTTTCTGACTACGTTTGTAAGGACAAAGATGCAATCTCCTCCAAACTCGAAAAATGCTGTGGCAAGCCTATAATTGAGAAGAGCCAGTGCATTGCTGATCTGGAGAATGATGACATTCCTGCTGACCTCCCTAACTTCCTTGCTGAATACGTAGAAACCAAGGATGCCTGCCAACACTACAAAGAAGCAAAAGATCTCTACTTAGCCAAGTAATTCAACTTTTCATCTTATTCTTGTGTTCCTTTCATATGCTTAATACCATTCACCTGATACTCTACTTGCTTCACAGTTGCAGAGCTATTGGCTACTCCTTGCCTTTTCCTCTCCCAAGTGTTTTAGGCAGAAATAGAGAGAAAGTTCTTCTTCATGCCTTCTGCTGTACTTATCAGGGCAAGGACTCTGGAACTTCAGCTTGATTATACCTCATCTTTGGCTCCATACATTATACTCTCTTTCTTTCAACCTCAAGAAGACAGCAATGATGGCAGGAAGTCATAATTTCCCAGCTTGACCCAGAGAGGACAGATATCTAGGACACTGGAGATAGTTTTGGACATGTGCTATTTGGAGGAGTAAGAAGGAGTGCAATGGCCCCTTTTACTCTGAATCTACCCACTTGTGGCCTTGAGGCTTGATGAAATTACCATTCATTAATTAGGGGAGAAAGGGAAACTTTGCATTATCCTCTGTCTGCTGAGCTTTTCTTTGTCCATCAATGCATCCCACCATATACTGATCCACCCATTCATTCACTCTCATTCATAGGACAAATATGTGTTGAGATCCATATTACTCTCGTCGTTCTGAACAAGGCACTGTCCGGGATACAAAGAAGTGTAAGATAGAATGCTAGCATTCCAGAAATGTACAGACTAATTGAGAAGTTGGTAGGCATCCAGACATGTGACCACTAAGCAAGAGTAGAAGGCAGTATGGAGTTAAGTGCTACAAGTGTGGAACTGGGAGATGTATTTCTGGTGTCCTCTGGACTGACTGATATGTTGTAATATTATACAGTAGGGCTGCACAGAACTGAACTTTTGAAAAAAAAAAAGGAAAATTTAACACCATCTGCTGAATCCATTAATACAAAGACCAATAGGCAAAGTTAACTCTAAACATTTTATCTGAGAAATTTTGTTGTAATTTTACAAAATTTGTGGAGCCTTAGGCCAGAGGAACAATGCTGGGGGCTGATCTTGTTCCTTATTGTGCTCATGTGTTTGATCTTCATTCTTCAGCTATTTGTATGACAGCGGAAGAAGGCACCCTGAGCTTGCTGTTATCACACTGCTAAGGCTTGCCAAGGACTATGAACATACCCTTGAGGAGTGCTGTGCCACAGCTGACCCTCCTGCTTGCTATGCCAAAGTGGTAGGTTTCTCATGACAAAAAAAAAAAAACAAAACCAAATCAAAGTACTTTAATTGCTTGATCTGGAAATGATAGCACAGTGAATAAAAAAGGACAGGAAGTAAAGTCATATGAATGTTCATTGAACCTTACCTTGGCACTCCTCTCCTTCTGGGCTTTCAAATCAGGTTTTTACGAGTACCCTAGAGATGTGAAAGTTGCAAATGAGACTCTGTGATTTTAGATCAGCTCTTTGAGAAAGGAGAAAGTTTTGCTTGTCTCCATTTCCACTAATACAGAATGAGAAAAAGCATTGTGAGAGGTGCAATTTAGTTGGACAGAAGAATTTCGGAGTTTTCCTGAGCATGAGGGTCATTAGGCGATGGAATTGGAATGTCCCTGTATAGAAGTCTTGAAAACCCTTGTTTGATCTTTTAGGTATGCTTTTGCATGCAATTAAGTGAGCTGGATGGAATGACTGCTATGGGCTAATGCTAATATGATTTCTAAAATTGGTATAAACAGCAAAAAATAATAAGCACTATATATGATGTATCCACAGGGGACATTTATATGTAATGACTCCATAGAGGACTTACTATAAACACCATTTTATTCTCCTTCAGGCTGAACATCGGAAAGCTCTTATTGATGAGAGCAGCCATTTATTCAAGGAAAGATGTGATCTTTTTGAAAAAATTGGAGAATACGGTTATGAAAACGTGTAAGTGGGACTTCACAGCTTGATCAGTTTTTAGTATTTAGAGTTTAGTAGGATGGAAGGACAGTCTCTTATAAAAGGCCATAAAACACAAAAAGCTTCAACTTTCCATTTCAAAGTGCTCTGCAAGCCTCTGGTTCCTTCAATACTTTGGAGTTGCAAGGGCAGCACTTAGGCTGTCCACTGGTTTGCTATTATTCATAGACTGAGGCACCCTGGGGCAGTGAAGGGAGCTCTGGGCTCTGAATAAGGAACCCTTGAGTTTGACATCTGGTTGTGACCTGACTCTGACACTTGCCAGTTGTGTAGTTTTGGGCAAGTCAATAGGACCCAGTTTCCTTCTTTTTAAGATGAGGTTGTTGGACTCAATGACCTCCAAGATTCTTTCCAGTACTAAGTCTTTTATTCAATGTTGAAGTAAATAAGATTCTTCCGCATGGAAAGTTGAAGTTTGAAAGGTGATATGATCCAATGCTTATAAACTATGGAAGGAGGTAACAGAGCAAGGAATGCCAGACTTGTTCAGGCAAACATGAGGCTTGGGACCCCATTTGAAATGTAAACAAAATGCTTCAGGCAAAATAAATGATTGGACTACTCTCTGTAATGGAGAGTAAACTTTTAGAATACCAAGAGGTGGCGGAGACTAAAGAGTTATGTAAGTTCAATGTTTAAGAAAGACCCATGTGTGACAGATTAATCCTGGGGAAAATTGGGATATTTGGCAAACTTCCATCATTGAAAATGTGAACATCATTGAAGGGATCGAGGAAGCCTCAGAAAATGTCCTTGTCACCACTATGCAAAATATGGTATTGGGAAGAATGGATGAGTGGTGGAGGCCATGACAGGAGAGGCCTAATGAGAGAGAAAAAGGGAAGGGCCATATTGACTGCCAGGGATGCTCAGTTTAACGCTGTCAAACTGACTCTGAGTAGATGTTTGTTGCCTAACAAGTTTTTAATGCTATTATTATTATTATTTTACTAAAGAGTGATTCTTTGACTGACTACAAACATTTGGAACATTGTAATTACAGATTGTTGGTCAAGTATACCAAGAACTTACCTCAAGTGTCAACCCCAACATTGGTCAACCTTGCACATAAGTTTGGAAGAGTTGCCACTAAATGCTGTAAGCTCGGTGACCAAGAAAAAACGGCCTGTTCTGAGCGTTATGTGAGTTTTTATTTTCTTTGCTACTTTAATACTACTGTTGTGAGTTTTTGCCTTGAGATGACAAAATAAATAATTTTGTGGCAAAGGAGTGCCCTTTAAAAATGTTGGTTACTTCTCCTCTTAAGCAGAGCACCTAAAAATCCCAAATCAAAACGCCTTTATTGATTTATTTAAAAAAAAAACCCACATTTTCAAAAGCTTCAAATTGCTCATGTTGCTGAGGCTAAAAATTCCATGGCCAAAATTGGACTGAGGCTATGAGTAAGGGCGGACTTCAACATAGCAGTTTAATTTAGTCTGTGAAATACTAATATGTTCACCCTACTCCTTTGGTGAATTCACCCAATGTTTCCTTTTGCTTCAGCTGGCTTTTGTATTTGACAAACTGTGTCGCCTTCATGAGAAGACCCCAGTGAGTGAGAGAATCACCAAATGCTGCACAGAATCCTTGGTGGACCGCAGGCCCTGCCTCACTGGCTTGAAAGCTGATGACACATATGAACCCAAGGCATTTTCTCCAGACACATTCACCTTCCACGCTGACCTGTGCACACTTCCTGACGAGGAGAAACAGAAGAAGAAGCAAAGGTCAGGAGCATTTGGTCTCCTGCTTTCCTCAAACTCACTTGCTTCCTCCTTGAGAATGAGGAAGACATTCTACTGACAACATGAGTAAACCTTTCTGTTTTAGGGCAAGAATCTGTTAGGGAAAAGAATTTAGAAAGTGATTCAAGTGCAAGTCACTCAGAAGAAACCTGTGGGGTAAATGGTTATAAATGAGTGGTATCTAATACCAATGATTGCTACTAGTATTTATACAGATTTTAAAATTTTCAAACTACATTTACGTATATTATCCCCTTTGATATTTACAACAACCCTGAGTGGTATGGGTTATTATGATCCCCTTTTTACAGATGAGAAAACAGAGGCTGAAAAAGATAAAGCAAGTAGCCCAGAGTCACACAGCTAGTGAGAATCTGAGGCAGTGTTTGAACTCAGGTCTTCCTGACTTCAAATCCAGCAGTGTATCCACCATGGCACCTAGCCATCCATCTAAGTCCACTGCCATTCAATAGACAGTCAAACAGAGAGCTAGGTCACTCTTTGGAGGATCTATCATTTTGGATAATGCAAACTAAATGACCATCTTTCTCTGGTTAGATGTGATGAAGCCCATGGTAAGATGTCTAGGATCCCTGAAGGGAAGGCAGGAAAATATCCTAAGGCAACCCTAATGCCTCCAAAAGGATCATCTTTACTCATGTCTTTCTCCAAACTTCAGGCTTCAATGTCAGGATCTCTCCTCTAATTTGTGACCTAGGACTAAGGCCAGATGAGGCATGGTTGTCCAGCCTGGTTACTCCTTGACTTTCATGAGCATTTCTGTGTTTTCTTTCATTCCAGTATACTGGTGGAACTTGTGAAACACAAGCCCAAAATCACTGATGACCAACTCAAGGGTGTAATTACTGATTTCACTGCATTTGTGGACAAGTGCTGCAAAGCTGCCAACCAGGAAGCCTGCTTTCTTGAAGACGTACGGACTTCTCCTTTCTTTTTATTGCATCTACCTTTGGCAGTCTTTGGTGATACCTCTAATGGGGGCTTAGCCAGGAGTGTTTATGTTTCTTACCTTAGCTTCCTTCACAGCCATCACTGGTCATTCTTAAAGCAAAAGGCTATTCCCTTTTCCCCGTTGACTAAAATATTCCTATGTGTCCATTGAAAGCTTGGTTTTTGTTGTGCATTTGTAGTTTTCTTTCACTTGTCAAATGGTTATCAGTCTCCCCTGTCTCCTATGTGTCAGGATGAATGAAAATCATACACGTGTAGCTTTTGAGGTATGCATAAGATTTAGTAGTAGAATTCCTTTAGCTGGCCATCTTTTTGGCTGGAACCCAGGTGTAACCTGTCCTTGTGCACGGGTAGAGAAACAGCCCCAGTTTCACCCAGTCACTGAATCCAGAATCTTAGGGATGGAAGGGACCTCAGAGACCACCTTGGCCAGGGTTTCTTAAATTTTTTGTTTCATGGACCTCTTCGGCAGCCTGTTCAATCCTATGGCCCCCTTTTAAGAATAATGTTTTTGAAATACAGAAAATTACATACACGGAAACCAATCATATTAAAAAACAATTACCAATATAAACCAAATTAAGGACCCCAGTTGTATTTTAATCCCTACCCCAGAATTCTCCCTGTTCGCTACCTGACAATTTGTCATCTAGGTTTCACTTGAAGACCTTGAGGCAGCCTGGTAGTGGAGAAGAATTCACTGCTTCTCTCTTTAACATCTACCCATTCCTCCTCCAGGTTTTGCCACCATCTAGGGCCCAACAAAGAAGTCAAAACCCTCTTCACAAATGAATCTTTCCTATAGTTTCAAGACCAGATGAATATACAGACAGGCCACTTTTCCTTGAGCAGGAATCTAACATTCAAGGATGTTTACGCATAAATATCTTCCCATGTTCTTTGATAGAGATGGTTTTGTATATTCACGGGAAATGGATAATACTCATAGAGCCCCCTTTCAGGGACGTTTGGCTTGGGCTCTCTGGAATCTCTTTCTCACCAATCTGTGATTTTGCATGCAGGGTCCCAAACTGGTTGCTTCAGCTCAAGCTGCCTTAGCTTAAAGACCAGATGGACAAGCCACCACTAGCATTTCAGGTAACTCTTTTTGGATATTTCATTGGCAATAGGTTGATATGTCAAGTATCTGGGATTTCAGCTTTGTGAGACCACCTTGCACTGACACATTTCACAGCTGATGGATACCTCAGTCTTAGCTGAGTTTAAATGATTGAGGATAAGCATCAGAGGTTGGGTACCAATCTAAATCCTGCTGACTCAATGTCCAGCACTCTATGCTGTGTTGCCTGGCATGTGGTCAATACTGGGGCCTGAATTTAACTCTACACTACCAGGCTGCCTTAGTCAGTGGGGCTGGTGTTCCTTGAGAAATGATCCCTCTTAGGATGGAGGCTGAAGGGGATCTGTTTTGTACTGAATCTTACTCTACTTGACATGAGATAGCATTGTATTAAAATCCAAGGCAGTATACATATGAAGTATATTGAGGATTTCTCACTTCAGGAAGAAAGGACCCACTTTCCATTTCAAATCTTTATGGATAAATTCTTTTTCCTGCACTTGCTGAATTCATTACTACTTTGTACTTTTTTTTTGGATTCCTTCAATCAATCCATTGTCTTTTAAATATAGAGAAGCCTTTATATAGAGGAAGGAAGATTATGGGTATAGAACCTTCATATAGAATTGGACTTAGTAAATGCATTAATTTAGTAGAACTTTCTTTTTTTTAATTGCCAATATAAAGAATGTCTCTCTAGGAAGGGGTGGAGGCAGGGATATATTGGGAAAAGTAGGTGATGTGAAGTTAAAAAAATTACTATCCTTTTTTTCAAAAGGGAGAGGGAAATATTAAAATATTGTGTTTGCTTAGTAATTTGAAAAATCATGCAAACCATTTGATGCAGCAATACCAGTAGGTCTGCGTTTGAATTAGATTTTTTGAGAAGGAAAAGGACCTATTTATGCAATAATATTTATGGCAGCTCTTTTTTTGTGGCAGCAAAGAATTGGAAATTGAGGGGATGTCCATCAATAGGAGAGAGGTCTAGCAAGTTGTTTATCATTTTGATGGAATATTATTGTGCTATAAAAATTATGAACAGGATGCTCTCCTAAAAACCTGGAAAGACTTACATGAGCTGATACAAAGTGAAATGGGTAGAACCAGGAAGGCACTATACTGAGAAACAGCAATGTTATGTGATGTTCTACTATGAATAACTTTGCTATTCTCAGCAATACAATGATCTGAGACATTTCCAAAGGACTCATGATGAAAAATTCTATCCATGTCCCCAGAAATATCTCATGGAGTCAGAATGTAGATTGAAGCATATATTTTTTACTTTCTATATTTTTATGGCTTCTTTTTTTGGGGGGAACCTGTGTTTTCTTTTCCAACATGATTAATATTTGATATATTCTGCATGATTGCACATGTATAATATATCAAACGGCTTACTGTCTCAGGGAAGGTGAGGAGGGACAGAGGGAGAGAATTTGTAATGCAAAATTAAAAAATAAATGTAAAAATTCTTTTTTATATATAATTTGGAAAATAAGATATTAAGAGATTTTAAAGTCATTTTGGCTTAACATATTTTTTTTTTGTCTTCTAGTTGACTAGTGGAAGAAAACAGAGATGAAATTGAGGACCCAAAATTCAGCATCTGTTTTGTTTCTCTGTTGGTGTCAAAGCAACAGAGTTAAGAAAACATCAATTTTGCCTTAAATTTTTTATCCTTTCCCAGTGTCACAATAAATAATAAAGAAAATTATAATTATCATGGCAGTTGTCTAGGACTGATCTTTCTGTGGTGTGTGATGATGATTTGTACCAGAGGGTGTTACCTTCCTAGATCTGCAGGTGCCTGAATTAGACTTTCTCTCCTACCTTAACAAGTTTTCTCCACACAAAGATCCTTAACTCTATACTTGCAAATTCATGGACATCAGCATTACTTTTGAATGGGTTATAAGGATATGGTTTTTGCATTCTTTTTTCTTTTTAATTTGATAATATGTCTAAAAATATTGGGGTGAATTCTGGGACCTGGATGGTCAGTAGGCAAGTTCTAGTTAGTAGATATATTAACAAGTGTCCTCATCAATAGAAAATATGGCAAAAGTGTAAAACCATAGCATGGATATTGCAACTGAATATTTAGGGCCAGGCTGGATGAGGAGTTTGACACCATACTAAGGGATCCAGGGTGAGGTTATGATGAAAACTAGTCAGAGAGGGAGACATAATGATGGGAACTAAGCCTTTTCACTTCAGGAGTCAAACTGATTTGTTAAAGAGGAGAGGAAGCTAGGTGATGCAGTGGATAGAGCCCTGGATCTGGAGTGAGGGAGAACTGATTTCAAATCCAGTCTCAGACATTTAGTAGCTGGGTAACCCTGGGCAGGTCATTTAAGATCCTCTGGCCTCAATTTATTCCATTGTAAAATGGGGATAGTAATAGCACCTACCTCCCAGGGTTTTTGTGAGAACCAAATATCAAAATAATTAAGAAGTACTTAGCACAGTTCCTGGCACATTGTGAGCACTACATCAATATTTTTGGTTATTATTATTATTATTGTATTGTAGTAGTAGTAATAGTAGCAGCAGCAGCAGCAGAAGCAGCAGTAGTACTAGTACTAGTAGTAGTAGTAGGAATGAAGCTGGTCAACAGATGTATAGTCAATGAACCAGGTTGGAATGAGAGAATCTGACAGGGAAGCAAATTAAAGTCCAATACAAAATGGGAACTCTTCTAAATGGTATCCTTGTATTCAATTTCTCTTCTCTTCAATGTCTTCACCACATCACCATCAAAGTGAAGATGCTGAAGTTGGATCATGGCACTTCTCTGTTCCATAACCTCCGCTGGCTCCTTTTGCCTTTAGATTCAAACAGGCCTTCTCCTGTCTGGCCTTGAAGCCTATGACAACATGGCTCTGACCTTCCTTTCTGTGCTTAGTCTCCATTGTTTGCCTTCATTCTCTTTCTAGTCCAGTTAAACTAGCCTTCCTCGTGTTTCCTTACACACAGTTTTCCATCTCTGGGCCTTTGCACAGGCTGTGCCCTATTCCTGGTATTCCTTCCTCCTCACTTCTATCTCCTCAGATCTCTATTTTCCATCAAACTTTAGCACCAAGGCCATCTCCTTCATGAGGAATTTCTTGATCCCTGAGGCCCCCTGCTACTACTGATTCCACCCTACACACAATCCTCTGTATGCTTATGCTTGTCTGTGTACACAGTTTCTTCTATTAGAATGTAAATTCCTTTTCATTTTATTGTCTTGGTAGTCTCCGTACGTAGCACCGTGCCTGTCATTCAGTGGGCATTTAAGAAATGCCATTTGATCGATAGATTAAAAAGCAAGAGCCAGGACCTCTCCTGGGAGGGCCAATTGTATCAGTGAAGTTTCTCCATGGAGTATCATCTTTAAGGAGGTTGCTCAGGTCATTTAAATAGTCCAACCATTTGGGAAAGCCCCATTCGGACATGTAGATAGAAGAAAAGGCTGTCTTGTGATCATTATGACCACTAAACAGAGGGCTGGATTCTCCGAATCCCAGGCCTTTGTTCATTAAATAACCTGTGTTTAGCACCTTCTGTGCAGACAGTACCTTACTTGGAACTATAGGCATCTGATAAAATAATGTAATTTATTTTTTTCAGGTATGTTCAGTTCTAGAATATCAAAGCTACTCCAAAGTTACTTTGATGTTTTGTGGGAATAGGAAGAAAATCATCTTTGTGTATCCTGTTTGGACCTAAAGATTTGGATTTTTTTTCTCCTCTGAAGTTAGAATCACTGCATTAAAGTATATTATTGCTTGAGAGGCCATGGTTTATTTTCTATCCTGTGCAACCAGCATTTAGGGAGTATATGTGGATGGTACAGTGGATAGAGCTCTGGATCTGGAGTCAGAAATACCTGAGTTCAAATTATTCCTCAGACTCTTAGTGGCTGTGTGACCCTGGGCAAGTCAGTTAACCTCTCTAAGCCTCAGTTTTGTCATTTGTAAAATGGGACAAATAATAGCACTTACTTGTCAGGATTGTCGTGAGGATAAAATGAGACAATAATTGTCAAGTACTTTATAAACCTTAAGCATATGCTAGCCAACATCATCATCATCATCATCATCATCATCATCATCATAATCAATAAGTCTATCTTTATGTAACTACAACAGATATCTAAATTATTGTGAAGGCTTCACATTTGATATTCAGCAAAGCCGTTGACAAAGTCTGCCATAGTATTCTTGTGAACAGATGAAAAAAATGTGGACTAGGTGGATTCAGAGCTGGTTGAATAACCAGACCCAAAGAGTCAATATGAATTTCAAAGGGGGTCTTGAAGGGGCAGCTAGGTGGTACAGTGGATAGAGCAGCGGCCCTGAAGTCAGGAGCGGTCTTAGACCAAACACTTAACACTTACTAGCTGTGTGACCCTGGGCAAGTCACTTAACCCCAATTGCCTTAAAAGAGATAAAAAAGAAAAAAAAAGCGGGTCTTGTGGAAGAGTGCCCCAGGGATCTGTCCTTGGTACTGTGCTGTTCAACATTTTTATCAATGACTCAGCTAAAGCCATAGAGGTGATTCTCATGAAATTTCACATGATGGGAAGCTGAAATGGAAAATTCATATGTTAGATGACAAAGTTAGACTCCACAGTTAACTCAGTAGGCTTGAATGATAGGTTTAATCTAATAAGATGACATGGACTGATATGGAACTTTTCCCTTGGGATAAAAAATTCAGTCTCCTAAGTATAAGATGGAGGGGTGGTTATATAGAAGTTCATTCAGATAAGCACCTTGGGAGTTCAGTGGACTCTAAACTCAATTGGATGAATGAATGAAGTACTTATGAAATGCTTATCCTGCATAAAGCACTGGAAATGCAAATGGAAAAGTGATTCAGTCCCTTTTTCCTAGGAGCTCACATTCTAATGAGAATATGAACACACATGGAAGGTTTCATCTGGGTGTCAGTTGGCAATGTCATGATTGTTAGGATACAGTGGCAAAACAAATGGTAATGCCTCTTCTTATTATGGTTTATTTATTTTGTTACATTTTGAGTCCTGAGCTGTCTTCCTCCTTCCCTCCCATCCCCACGTTAAAGAAGGCCAACATTTTATACATACATACATATACACATGTGTATATGTGTATAATGCATATATGTATATACACATATATCTATGTCAATGTGTATGTAAATATATGTGTATGTATATATATTTGTGAATCCATACTATATACCTATATCTACATATTAGTTCTTTCTTTGGAGTTGGATAGCATTTTCCTTCACCAGTCCTTTGTAGTTGATTCAAATGATCATATTATTCAAAATAGCTTAGTCATTCATAGTCACTCTTCAAAAAATGTTGCTGTTATTGTATACAACATTCTCTTGGTTCTGCTCGTTTCTCTGTGCATTAGTTCATGCAAGTTTTTTCATGCTTTTCTAAAAAACCTGTCTATCATTTCTCACCGTATAGTAGTATTCCATCAAAATCATATACCACAACTTGTTTAGCTATTCCTTATTTGATGGGTATAAGCTCCAGTTCCAATTCCTTTCCACCACAAATACAGCTGCTATAAATATTTTAGAATGTATGTTCTTTTCTTTTTTCCCTGATTACTTTGGGAAACAGACATAATAGTTCTATTTTATTGCCAAGTCAAAGGGTATACACAATTTTATAACTTTTTGGGTGTAATTCTTGATTGCTCTCCAGAATGGTTGGATCAGTTCACAATTCTGCCAACAGTGTATTAGCACTCCAATTTTTTCACATCCCCTCCAACATTTGGCATTTCCCCCTATCAGTTTAGCCACTCTGATAGGTGTCTGATGATACCTCATAGTTGTTTCAATTCGAATTTCTTTAATCAACAATGACAGAGTATTTTTTTATGCGATTATATATATCTTTGATTTCTTTTCCTCAAAACTACTTATTCATATCCTTTGACCACTTATCATTTGGCTCACATTCTTATTAATCTGGCTCTGTTTTGTATATATTTGAGGTATAAGGCCTTTATCTGAGAAATTGATTATTAAAAAAAATTTCTCTAACTTTCTACTTTTTTTTAAATCTTGGCTATATTGGTTTTATTTGTATAAACCCTTTTTAATTTAATGTAATCAAAATTATTCATTTTACATGCCATAGTGCTTTCTATCTCTTGTTTAGTCCTAGATTGTTTTCTTATCCATAAGTCTGGTAGATAATAGACTCCATACTCTTCTAATTTACTTATGATATTACCCTTTAGAACTAGGTCGTGAATCTATTTTGACCTTTCCTTGGTAAATGGTACAATATATTGGTCTATATTTAGTTTTTGTCATATTGCTTTCCAGTTTTCCAAGAAATTTTTTTTTTTTTACCAAACAGTGGATTTTTTTCCCCAAAGTTTAGTTCTTGGTGTTTATCAAACATGAACTTACTATTATCATTTACTATTGGGCATTGTAAACCTACTCTATTCCATGGATCCATCATTCTATTTTTTAGCCAGTACCAAATAGTTTTGGTAATTACCTCCTTATAATATAATTTAAGATCTGCTACTTGTAGACTCCCTTCCTTTATTCCCCCCCCATTAATTCCTTTGATATCTTGACCTTTTGCTTTTCAAATGAATTTTTTTATTCTTTTTTCTAGCTCAGTAAAATAATTTTTTGGTAGTTTAATTGGGATGGCACTGAATAAATAAATTAATATAGGTAGACTTGTCATTTTTATTATATTGGCTTGG